AAATTCTAAGTAAAATAGTAGTCTTAACAGGCATGAATGTACTGGAGTCCTTAAGAGGCAAGTTTCAAATTCTCCATACATGTGTGCCCACATTTTGCATCAGTGCAAACCTTGTATTTGCTCCAACTGAGCTGACATATTGTTTTCCAACTGTCTGTCAGTTAATGAAATGAAGCCAGTTGTAAGAAGAGGTATAGAGGATTATATTTGGTTTGCTCCAACGAAGTCTCAAGATGGGACTCAAAATTAAGCAGGCACCTGAGAAAAAGCACATATTTAATGATGCATATTTTAGAAAATTCACAATGAAGACAGAAAGCTTAATAAGGCTATAAACTACTGCACTCAAAGAAAAATGCAAAACCAGAAGTCTTAAACAAATAAAATAAATAACCAGACAAAAGCAGTGAAATAATTGAGAACTTAATTTGAAAAGAATCTTAAGAAGGAACTCAAAGCTGTCATCCCAAACCTTAAGAGAGGATCTTTAATCTGAAAATCAGAAATCCAAAATGCTTCAAAATCTGAAACTTTTTGAGAGCTAACATGAGGCCACAAGTGCAAAATTCCATACCTGACCTCATGTTGCTGTCAGAATGCAAGCACACTAAAAATGTATGAAATTACCTTCAGGTTGTATATGAAACATAAGTAAATTTTATGTTTAGACTCAGGTACACCCCCTAGATATTGCATATGTATGTGCAACTGTTCCAAAAATCCAAAACACTTTGGTTTGAAGAACTTTGGATAAGGGATACTCAATCTGGGCTTGAAAATCTTGTGGAGCTGGGCACTGTGACTCACACGTGTAATCCTGGCTACTAGGGAAGCAGAGATTGGGAGAATCTCTGTTTGAGGCCAGCCCCAGAAAAAAGATCTCAAGACCCCATCTCAGCTAATAAAAAGCTAGGTGTGGTGGTGTGCACCTGTCATCTCAGCTACACTGGAGGTGTAAACAAGAGGATCATGGCCCAGCCTGGTCATAAATGTTAGATCCTATCTCAAAAATAATCAAAGCCAAAAGGGCTACCAACATGTCTTAAATGGCACAACACCTGCCTCACAAGTCCAAGGCCCGAGGGGCCTGAGTTCAAACCCCAGTACAAAAAAAAAAAAAACATCCTGTAAGGCCGAAAAAGTTGGGAACCAAAAACTACAGAAATCTGTACTTCCAGATCTGGCTTCTCAGCGGTGTTGTCTCCCTCCCCCACAGTTATTTTTATTTTTGACAGCTGTCTCTACTCACAACTTTAAGGAAGATAAGACTAGAGTTTCTCAAAAGGAATTTTATCAAGAAACAAGTAAGTAAAAAAAAAACTGAGACAAAAATAAATAAATAGCAATAAGAAAAACTCTACATACACTGAGATGATATTCAGACATGTGCAGGCACATACACACACACGGAATTCTTGCTATGTACCATGCATGCCGCTACTGCACACACATTCGCCTTGGTCCACTTTCTTCTGCTATAACAGAATACCAACTGGGAACATTATGAAGAACAAAACTTTATTTGGATCGAGAATCTGGAGGCTGAGAAGTCCAAGATTAAGGGGCTACTTCTGATGGGTGCCTTCTTGCTGTGCTGCAACATGGTGGGAAGTATCACATGGCAAGAGAGTATGATGAGGGGATGCAGAAAGGGGTGGAATTCCTCCTTTTATAACTAACCCATTCACATAAATACCCACTGATGTTATAACAGCATTAATCCATCATGAGGGCAAAGCTCTTATGACCTCATCACTTCTTAAAGATCCTAGCTCTCAATGTTATCAAAATGGCAGTTAAATTTCGACATGAATTTTGGAGGGCACATTCAAATCATAGCAATATTCAACACTATATGAAGCATTATGTTAAAGATATACATAGGTGATCATTCTTTCAACAAATATTGAATTTTACTATTGTTAAAAGCACGAAGGAAACAACACTGTATCTGAATAAGGATACGGGAAATCACACAGTAAGAAAAAAAGTGCCTTGAAGAAAAGTAAAATAGAGCAACTGGGCTGCTATTTCAAATAGTGTGTTCCATAAAAGGTGTCCACGCAGTTAAGGCTGATACCCACATGGGGCCACGGTGTATGCTGCACCACAGCGGGGGATAAAAGCAAATGTCAAGGCTCAGTCCTTGGCAAAAGTCATCCTATACCCCCTTCAAATTTGGGAAAAACAGTGCTCACAGGGCAGCAAAGTGACTTTTCTGATATTCTAGATGAGGAAGTAGAATAAATGACCATATATGTGATGAGCTGCTCTACTTAAGTTGTCATTTCCTCTTAGATTGGCTTTCCCAGATCCTCTTCAGACACTGTCCATTACTCTCATTTTCTACTCTCTTCTCATCTCCTTTCTTTAAAAGTTAGGTAATTTCTTTTAAACCTGGCCCTCACTAGAAGAAAACTGAATGAAAGCCCTTGGTACTGCTCACCTCTTCCAGAGGGGCTATACCTCATTTGTGTACTCACTCTTCCTTCCTTCCTGTAAGCCCTTGTGGGGAGGGCAGGCAATAGGATCACTTACCTTTTCCCAACTGGCAGCCAGCATGGTCCTATACATCATGAGTAGTTAAGAGACAACTGTCGAAAATATCAGAGAGAAGGATGGAGGAAGGAAGGAAACAAAGAGGAAGGAAGGAAGCATTTTAGTTGGGAAGACGAGAATAAGAAACTGCAGAGAGAAATAAAGGTAGTTTCACACAGGTTTTAGACTTGTTATTATGCTATCTTTGTTTCTTTAAATATATTTAAGGCAAATGCATTTTCAACTGTATTAAATTACACAAAGAAATTCCAATCTGGGTTTCTAGCAGGGGGAAGAAGGGGAACGGAAAAAATACATGGGAGTGCCTATACTCTCCTAAAATCACAGCACATGGGTGGTACTGACTCAGGAGGTTAGATCAGTGCAAATTACTGTGGCTTCTTCTGAGGGAATAGTCCACTCTCCTGCTGATATTTGCTACTCATGTCCCAAGTTCCAGCGGCAGGATGGTGAATGTGGATGCACAAGGGCTCTAGAGTCAGATCAACTGCCTTCATTTTCCAGTTGTTTCCTCTCTCTGGTAGTCAGAGGACTCGCCGTTCCTGTCTTAGCATGTTCATGGGGAAGCTCAGAGCACCCACTGCATGGGGTTGTTGTGAGGATTAATGAATGAATACATATCAAATCTTAGACTGGTGCCTGGATTCTGACAAAACCTCAATGCATGTTAGTTGTTATATTCTACTTCCTAAGTGAACAAATAAAACCATAAATAAAGATAAAGTGGTAAATCTATATACTTTGGAGAGATGAAGTATTACTGTCTTTATTACCATCACTCATGACAGTCTCTGGAGATGAAGACAGTACAGTAGTTTCGGGAAGATATGGACAGAAGTCTTGTTCATTGCTTCTCACTCTTCTGCTGCTTGCTACAGCTTTTAGAGGGGTCAATGGCCTAAGACTTTCTGCAGTGCTCTCTTCCATATGCTAAATTATTTATTTGTCAGGGTCCTTTTTTCCTATTGTTTACATCCACCTAGAGTAAAGATGAGTATGTTTATTGAGCATAAAGGCAGCCATCTCTCATAATCTTTGATCATGGATGTCTTAATGGTTGAGTTTTTTTTTTTAAGGCTTCTGACTCTGTTTCTCCCCTCTCCCTGAAAATGGACAGAGATGGATCATAAACAATGACTGTTTTTGACTCTTACAGACCCAAACCCGGGTTAATTCATGTGTCCCTACTAGAATTTCAAAGATATCATGAGAGGAATTTCCTGGGAACTAAAACTGTCACGTTATAAATATGTGTCCTGAAGGAGCATTTCAGAAAGAACCAATTAATTGCAAAACAAATAAAAACCGAAATCCCTTTAATGCCTGAATGGCTCAAGCAGTTTTCAAGTATGGAGCAAATGTTTTAAAAACGCAAGGATCTTTCGCCACCTTTTCTTATCAGCCTATCACCAAGAACCCAGGAGGGCAGCAGTGGGTTAGAAATTCTGTCTCTGTGCCAAATTCTGAAGAAAGTCTTGGCGGAGGCAAATGGCCAGAAGGCTTGTTGAGGGTTCTGTTGGCGTGTTCCTGAGCTACTTGCACAGTTCCACTGACGCTGATCCCCCGTGGAATTTAATTCTCTACAGAACTCAGCTTTGTTCTATTAGGCGGAGAAAGGAAGAGTTTCCTTGGGAATCATGGAGAGTTTTGCCCGGGATTTTAAGATCATATTATCTTTATTCCGGAAACACTTCCCATTTCTATAAAAAGCTACGCATTCTCTTCTCCATCTCCTTTTTTCTCACGCCTGAATCAGGATTTCAAAGGCCTTTCGGTTGAGACCTCTGCGTCAGTTCTCGCAGCGTCCAGGCCATCCATCCCTTCTCCGCAGTGCCCCTGGCCAACCAACTCTGTCTAACTTTTCCCTTGCAGACTCCAGCAGGGGCGCCCTCCGGCAACCGACTGCAGCCGGCAAAATCGAGCACAGCCCAAAGAGCCCGGGCTGAGCACCCAGCCAGCGCCTGGCCAGGCGAACCACCGCGTCCTGCAGCCACGGGAGCCCACTGCCAGGCAGCCTCCGGACCTCAGCCTTGCCCTCCGTGGCGCTCGCCCACCTTTGGCTTCTCTCTTCTCGGCATTTACTACTTGGACACCAAATCAAACCATTCCTCTCCACCTCCAGGAGAGCTCAGCTAACCCCTGTTCCCTCCTTTGCAAACCTCTCCAACCGCCTTCCCATCCCGCAGCAGGAAAGCCCAGCTCACTCTTCCCAGTTGCACGGATCACCGCGGGGGCTCCCTCACCGCCGGCCGCCCCAATTCACACTCATTCGTATTCATTCTCCTCCTCTCTTGGTTCCTCTTTCTCTCCCCCCAAAGACTCCTAACAAGACAGGCTGATATCCCCAAGTGGCAAGACAGGCTGATACCCCCAAGTGGCACTCCCTTTCATTCATCCCCTCCCAACACAGAACACACACACACACACACACACACACACACACACACACACACTCCGACCCAGACAGCCCACTCCACTTTCCAGACGCCCACCTCCTCCATCCTCTCCTCCCCTAAAGAGACATTCACCCACTCACCATCTGTAGCCTCCTTCCGTCCCCTGCCCCGCCCGCCCGCCAGCTAGCCCACCAGCTCCCCCTCCCCAACAAGCAGACCTGCACAGTGGGAGGCAGGGACCCCCGCCAGACGCTCGGGCCGCGCGCGCCGCACTGACCTCCGCCCGCCCTGCCGGGAGTCTAACAAAGGCGGGCGCGAGCCCCAAGCCCGGAGCCCGAGAGCGGCGAGCGGCGGCCGCAGGGCCGGGAGTGCCTGGCCGGGCTGCTCCAGAGTCAGGAAGCAGAGGCGTTAGAAAACGAGGATCTGTCGCTGCTGGGACGCCGCCGGCACCATGGGCTGCTGCACCGGTCGCTGCTCGCTCATCTGCCTCTGCGCGCTGCAGCTGGTGAGTGTCCCGCGCGCCCCTGCTCTGGGACCAGTCCCTACTCTCGGGGACCCGCTCTTCCGCGCACCGGCGGCTCCCGGCCAGGGGTGGCAAGCGAGCGAGCTGGCACTCCAGCCGGCTCCCCTTCTCGCCGCCCCGGCTTCGCTCTCGCAGCCCTCCAGCTGTCCGCATTCGCGGGTCGCTCCTGCCCGCGGGAGGGCGCGGTCTCACTTCTGGTTCACTGCGCCCCCGCCGGGCGTCGCCACGCCGTCCAGGGGCTGCTGCTGAAGCGCCGGGGAGTGAGGGATTTCCCCGCCCCTGTCGGACACCTGGCTTCAGGACCCTCCGCATTCTGCTGAAGTTGCATAGGAGCCTGTGGGCTCTCTCTTCTCGGGATGATTTCCAGTCATGTTAAGGCTGTTTAATTAGGGGGGGCGTGGGAATACTTAGGTTTGAAAGAGCAGCACCTCAACTCTTTAGTGTTCTCACCTTCAGGGGTGGTTGAGGAACCTGGAACTCCAGGAAGGAGATCTGCCTGCATGCTTTTGACAGAGTAATTTCTGCCTTCCAACTCCCCTTTAGATTTTGTTGAAATGTTTCATGTTCAGTCAGCGACAGACTGACAGCTGTCATCAGGAAGAGAACAGAGTGAACCGGCTTCTTTGGCTTTGTGCCTTGAGGAGGGAGTGAGTGGAATGGGAAGCTGGAAATCGGAGTGGAGAGAAAAAGACCTCTCAGTTCAGAGAACATACTCTTGATCCCTTTGGAACTGGACTGACCCCGTGGTCTATTCCATGGTCACTGGAGGTCAAGGTCAAAGACTTGTGTCAGGCTTTTGTGTGTGAGAGATTAATAGACATTCCTTTTATTGCACTTAATAGTCTGTAGGTGCTCTGTCACATTTTCTTCAAAGCCTTGCATTTATTTTGTCACAAACCACAGAGGTGTAACTTGCACATTTTGACAAGCTAGGGGGAAAAGCTTTCAATGAACTTTACGGAGTAATGTCAACTCTTGCAAGACTCATTAACTGAAGAATGAAATAATGCTGTTTAATAGTCCTTGTTCCTTGAAGGTTTTTTTTTTTTGTGTGTGTGTGTTTTCACTTTTCCTTTGCTTCAATTTTCCAGTCTTCCCTAAAAGTCTCACTTTGGATGTGCTCCTTTTTCATGTAATGCACAAATAATTTCTGAATTCATAGGTTTGCAATCAGTGGCTCCTTGTTTTTAAGCCTCTTGGACAATCTATTCTGTACTAAGAAAAACTTACAGAATATATTTTATAGTTTCCTTGAAAACATAATTTTAAAAAAATCACTCAAACATGAATGTTTTCTTTCACTTAAGGAAAAAAGGTGAAGGGTTTTTAGGAATGGGTGTGCATAAATTTTGAAATCTTTGGTTCTGTAGGATTGTGGACAGGCATTCTAGATTGTATAACCCATAATAGCATGATTCCTATTTTACATGGAAATAACACATAAGGTTTTATGAAGCAGGTTATCAATATAATTATGGTTTTCCTAATTGGTATTGTAATATTTGTGGATATATATCTCCACAAATATATATATATATATATATACATATACATATGTATATATATATATATGTATGTATATATACATATATATGGTAGTCCTGATCATCCTCTTTTAAGCTTCCTGCTATCACTGGCATGACAAGTACTTGCCACTTTCTCCAGTTACTGGTTGAGATGAGATCTCCAAAACTTCTTTCCCTGGGCTGGCCTGGAACCTTGATCTTCCCAATCTTAGCCTCCCAAGTGGCTATGATTGCAGGCATGAACCACAGGTGTCCACTGATGATACACTTTTAAGCTTTCATTCTTTAGCCCAGAATGCCCCAGTATACAATTTCTCCATTGATGCAAATGCATCTTTTGCTTCAAATCTTATTTCAAGATTCTATCTTCTCTGTGAAGTCTTTCTTGATGCTCTAGGTAAAATCACTTCTGTTTCTTTCATCTCATTGTCATTTGCTTTCTCTGTTGTGACACATTTCATCTTTTCTTAAATTACCTTAAGATATTTGCATATACCTTTCATGACTAAGCTATAAGCAGGAATCAAACATTACTCATTGTTTGCAAACTCTGCAAGTTCCTTAGTGTTTATATTAGGAGCTAAAGCATACTTGCTGAATTTATGATAATACCTACTATGTGGAGTCCATATAGAGTTTTGGCATAAACATTTCTTTTGACTCTTAAGATTATTCTCTAGAAAACATATCCATTTCACTGATTTGCAGATTAGGAAGTTGATACTCATAGAAGAAAACAATTATTATTTTCAAAATCAATAGCTTTGGGATGTAGGAGACAGTATGGTGATGATAAGCACTTAACATCTGGATTTCAAACAAAGCAAAGCATATGTGTACATTACATTTTGTATCATACATGATATTATTTACATAAAGGATGTGCAGATTCCATTGACAAATTTTAGTAATAAAAATGCAATACTCTTTAGTGTACATTCCTTATAGCCAATTAAATCTGGCAGAATCCTTGTGCTGATTTTGACAAACTCTTGGTTCTCCATTTCTGACGTTAATGCTAATTAGTTTTTTTATTTGATTTAAGGAGAAATAGAAAAATGAAACAAGAAGATAGTATTGAAACTTCATCATTAACATGAACAGATTTTTTGCTAAATTGGATAATAGCTTCTGCATATTTAAAAGTTAATTTTTCAATTTCTTTTGTGCTATTGACAAAGTAATGGTTATAGGCATGACATAGTTTTAGTTTTAATATGCATTATTGAACATATTTGTCCAGAAATTGCTTAAGTCTAGGTAATCAATGAACAATAAGTCACATCCTGATTTGTAGCATTTTTCAATTTCTTTGATCTAAATATTTCCCTCTTTGCCAATTTCAAGTACACCTTCCATTTTACTGATAAAATGGGCACAAACAACCTCAAAACCATAAAAACAATGGTAAAATAATTAAAAAGGGATGGATTTTAAATATTTAATACCTTTCATTTTAGTATGATTTATTTAAACTTAAATTTGTATAATTTAATTTTAATACTGGTTGTGTTTAACAATTGATGCATAAAATTCCTGAACATTTAACAAACCAATTCTCTAGCCCATATAAGTCTGCTCTAGTGTACCACAGAATAGGGCCTCTGATCCCCAGATCATATCCAGTGCTCTTTCAACTGAAAGCTGCTGTCTTTCTTTCCCTTTCATGTTTTTCTCTGCTCCCACCAACTGTTGGAAGAGGGAAATTTTGAACCAGTAAAAGAATGTGGGTGTGGAGAGGGAATAGATTCATTGATCACATTTCCTGAAGAAAATCTTCAGGGTATTCACTAAGTCTTGACTGCAAGATAACTAAATAAATAGCACATTAGCTCCTCCTAAAATTTAAGCAAAAGGAAGTTTTACAATCTTATTCCCATTTCATTTGAACTATATAACCCTGCAGAGGGAAAAAAAAGCAAACTGGGGAATTCTAATTGGAAAGAACTTTTTAATCTGTGGATGACTTTGATTTACCAAATTTGTCTTCTACTTTCATCTTTCCAGTGTTCTGGTCATCTCCCATCATTGCATTTTCTCTATGCTTCTACTCCTATGCAGATTGTATGCATTAGGCCCATGTTTTATATTCATACTCCTGATTTTGCTATATGAAATTAAAGCAAAAGTGAAAACCCTAAATGCATGACCATAGAAAGTTGTGTGAAGAGAATCTTTTTTGAAAAAGTGATTTGTGTTTCACTAGTCCATTTTCATGAAAAAACTTTTAAATACATATTGTGTAATGATATTTTCAGTTTTGATTGTTCTATATAATACCATGTATTCTATTGTCAGATATGTATAGTTTAAGACCTAAAAAGAACACCTGAGCATATGCTTTTGTGACCACACTTCTTTTTTGGTGGCACTGAGGATTGAACTCAGGGCTTCCTTCTTGCTAGGCAGCCTCTCTACCACTTGAACATGCACCCAGCTCTTTATTCTCTTATTTCTTTGGAGAGAGGGTCTCACTTTTTGCCCAGGCTGGCCTGGACCTCAATCCTACTGTTTTAAGCCTTCTATTGTCACTGCAATTATAGGCACATGCCACCATCCCCAGCTTTTTACTGTTGAGATGGGGTGTCCTGAACTATTTTTTACCTAGGCTGGCCTGGAACTGCAATCCTCCCAGACTCAGTCTCCCAAATAGCTAGGATTACAGGTGTGAGCCACTGATACCCAGCTTAGTCACTACATTTAAGTGACACTTAATTGCATGTTCTAAAGTGTAATATTAACTGCACATGTCAGTTTAGAACCTTTTTCTCAGAGCTGCCTCTGAAAAGTTGGAGTTATTGTGTCAGCTACTGTTCATACAAAGCTCTAGCCATCTCCCCAACATTGTAAAGGTCAGACACTAAGGTATGCTAAACAAAACTTTGTGGATGTTACCAGGGGAGATGGGTTATACTTTGCATCATATTAAGATGAAAGCTGTACTTGCTATTAGAAGTAATAATGAGTGTAATAAAAGTTAAAGCTTTCACCTGACATATTGATGGTCACAGAAACCTTAAAAAATTTATACAAACAGTCAGATTTTAACTAATAGATGAATTATATGTTTTTATTTTGGAGAATATCTTCTCAAATTAAAGAAAATTAACACATTTTTCTCACAGTGAAGCCAAAGTTTAATTAACTTTCTATACTGCCTTTAAACTATCTTGTGAGCAAATTCACCTGTGACACTAAAATGTTGAAAGGAAATGTGTTGGAGGTATGTGAATGGTGGCAGTTTAGCTGTGATAATAAGTTTTTTAATTAAGTCCTACAAAATCTACAGCTCACCTGTCATAGATATTGGATAGTCAAGGCAGAAATGCATTTCTCCTATTATGTAGATATGTTGATACCTTTGTTTCAACATGGTTTTAATTTAAGTAGTGTTTTGTCTTCTCCTGGGCAAGGTAATTCTTAATCATTTAGTTTCCAGTCCAATTCTTTATTTCA